ATATCCAAGATATAGAGGGAACTGGTTCAGACATAAGAGCCATTACCCAGGAGATAAACTCTCAGAGGATATAAACAGGCAGTTCTCAAAGGAAGAAAATTACCTTATTGGCAACAATATGAAAAAATGCTCCAAATCGCTAACAACAGGAGACGCAAATGAAAACATCTCTTTGGTTCCATTTCATGCCCATCCTGTCAGCAAAGACGCCAAAAAGATCACTGTTGGAGAGGCTTTTGGGAAAATCACTGCACTGTGGTCAGAACTGAGAACTAGTTCAGCAATTCTGGAAAGTAATTTGGAGTTATGCCCCCTAAATTGTGTATATGATTTTACCTTTTTGAGATATGCCCCCAAAGAGATCAAAGAAAGAGGGCAAAGGTCCATTGGTATAAAAGTAACCCGGAAATTCCCCCACTAGGCACGTACCCCAAGGAGCATGTTGTTTATTTTTTATTTTTTGCCAGTTGGGGTTAAGTGACTTGCCCAGGGTCACACAGCTAGTAAGTGTCAAGTGTTTGGTCTGAGGCTGGATTTGAACTCATGTCCTGACTTCAGGGCCGGTGCTCTATCCACTGCACCACCTAGCTGCCCCAAGCCTGTTGTTTAAAATAAAGGCACAGTATGCATCATAATGTTTATAGCAGCATTTTCTTGTGGTAGTGAAGAACTGGAGGGGAAAAGGGGACACCCCTGTTGATTGGAGCTAAATAAATTGTACACGAATGTAACAATATCACTGTGCTTTGAGAAATGATTAATGAGATGAATGCAGAGAGGCATGGACATACTTACACGCATTGATACAGAATGAAGTCAACACAGCCAAGCAAACAAGATACACATGACAACAATGAAAATATTAAAAAACCAACCAAACAACTGAAGAGGAATGCCGGAAAATTACAAAGAACAGGCACAGCCCCAAAGAAGAGATCTGAGAAGACACCTCCCCCTACTCCTTTGCAGGTGGAACATTTCCACAGGATGTCAGACTTCTTCAATATGTTTTTAGGATTGGCTGAAATTTTTTCCTTTTTTTTGTTTTTTGGCTAGGCAATGGGGGTTAAGTGACTTGCCCAGGGTCACACAGCTAGTACGTGTTATATGTCTGAGGCCGGATTTGAACTCAGAATTTTTTTCTTTTTTAAAAAAATTCTTTGGTATAAGAGATGGGTCCCTGGGAGTGGAGAGAGGAGGAACACAAGGGGAAGTTTAGGCAATGTTAAAAAAAAAACCAAAAACCTAGCTGTGTGACCCTGGGCAAGTCACTTAACCCCACTGTCTAGCAAAAAACAAAAAACAAACCAACCACAAAAAATCATTTTAAAAAACAGTAAATTTTTTGAGGGTAGGAGCTGTCTCTCCCTAATATTTACACCCCCAGGCTTTTCATTCATTCATTAGAGGACCGTGGTCTTGTTGACAGAGCTGGGAATGGGTACCATTCTGGAATAAAATGCCCATCCTGCTTGGAGAGATTCCACTACAAGTCGTATGTCCCCAGGAGAAGGGAATGGAAAGGAATAAACATTTACTAAACACCTACTAAGTGCAGGTATTTTAAAACACCTGCTATGCATTGTGCTAAGCACCTTACAAGTATCTCATTTGAGACTCACAATGATCCTGTGAAGTAAAAGTCGTTATTATTTCTACAGTACAGGTGAGGAAACTGAAGCAGACAGGTGAAATGACTTGTCCAGGGTCACAGAGCTAGGAAGTATCTGAGGTCATATTTGAACTCAGGTCTTCTAGACTACAGGCCCAGGTGCTCTGTGCACTGTGGTGCCACCTAGCTGCCTCTAAGAGGCTTTAAATATTTATAAAATATATAAATATATATTATATACAAAATAGTTATATATTTACATATTTTACTTATATATTTATTTGGGTTAATATTTCCCAATTGCATGTAAAGTTTTCATATTCATTTTTAAAATTTTGAGTTTCAAATTCTTTCCCTCCTGCCTGGTCCTCCCCTACCGGGAGAAGGCAGACACTATATCCATTACATGTGTGAAGTCATTCTAGGAAGCCTTTGATCAAGAAGAAAGGCTCCATGCACACCCAAATATTCATAGCAATGCTTTTTGTGGCAGCAAAGAATTGAAAATAAAGCAGATACCCATTGATTAGGGAATGGTAAGACCAAGTGTGGCACACAAATGAAATAGAATATTACTGTGCTGGAAAAAATGACAAGGAGGTGAATCAAGTGACATCAAAGCCAAGGAAACCACATCCATGATGCCTACGACAATGTAAAGGAAAAGCGGACCAGACAAAGGAACCCGAGTGCCATGAAATGGCCCCAAAGAAGAGAGAAGAGGAAACACCTCCCTCGGCTCCTCCGCAGAGGGGCTCCTTGGGCACAGGATACACAGCCAGCCTTTATTTTCTGTTCTTTAGTTTTGTACAGTTTTCATTCTTTTTTTCCCATAGTTATCCCTTCCAAAGCGGCAGACAACTTGTGAAGGCCAGCGGATGACACAGAAAAAAGTTTAGAAACTCAGAAGTGCAGAAAAGACATGTACGTTATTGTATATTAGTACCATAAATATGTACCATTTCTTCTTCTCTGATACGAAGAGAAGGCCAAAACATTTTATGTGGATTTCCCAGATCGTGGTGGTGGTGGGGGGGGGAGGTACTGCACCCCTGACCCCCAAAATGTGGAAGGGATAACTATGCTTTATTATGAAGGACGGCTCTCTGAGATGGACAAGGGGATGCCATGGGGCATAGGTCAGTCAGTCCACAATCACTCATGAACCACTTACTATTAGCTAATCACCATGCTAAGTGCCGGGGATACAAAGAGGCAAAAATTGTCCCTGCCCTCAAGGAGCTGCCATTCTAACGTGTTGGGAGGAAGATGTAAATAACTCAATACGTACAAGATGTACACAGAGCAGATGGAGGCTGTCACTCAGAGGGAAGACCTCCTGCAGAAGGAGAAATCTGGGTACTGAAGTAAGCCCTGGAAGCCAAGAAAGAGGCGAGGGAGCACAGCCAACACAAACCACAGATGGCAGACAGAGTTTGGGGAAGGAACAGCAAGGACGCCGGGGAGCTGCTCCTAGAGAAGTAAAGGTAGCCTTGGAAGGGGCCAGGTTGGGAAGGGCTTCGGAGGCCAAAATTTGGGAGATTAGAGTGAAGGTTATTGAGGGGGTGAATAACGCGGTCAGAGCTATCAGAAGGCTATCACAACAGCCCAAGTGTGAAGTGACGGGGGCCTGTACCAGGCTGGTAGCAGCGTCAGAGGAAAGGGGCACGTAGGAGGGATGTTTTGAAGGCGGAGATGACAAGATCTGGTGACAGACTGATGATGGAGGGTTTGTGAGTAAGGAATTAAGGATGATACTGGGGTTTTGAGCCTGGCTGACTGCAGGGATGGTGGTTTCCTCAATAAAACTCAGGGAATTGCAAACAGGAAAGGATAATTAGTGCTGACTTTGGACACGTTGAGTTTGAGACGTCTACGGCATGGCTCAAGATGTCTAAGGCATGGTTTGTGATTTGAGATTATAGCTCAGCAGAGAGACAAGGGCTGGCTATAAAGCTCTGGGAAGGATCTGCACTGAGCCCATGGGAGCTGCTGAGATCACCAATGAGGCGGTACAGGGGGAAAAGACAAGAGGGCCTAGGTAGAGCGATGGAGGACAAACAGTTAATTGGGGGCTAAGATCCAGCAAAGGAGGCTTGGGAACAGCAAACCCAGAGAGAGCAGCAGCATGAAAATGCAGAGGAGGGACTGGATCTGAGAGGCGACCAACAATGACGAAGGCTGTAGAAGGGTCAGGAAAGACGAGGACGGAAAGGCCATGATATTTGGCAAGAGAACATAGGTGGTGTCCAAGAGAAGCCAGATCGAAGAAGGTTTAAAGAGTGAGGACAAATGAATCCATCATCAGAGGATTTTTCCAAGATTCAGCCACGAAAGGGAAGAGACAGGACGAGAGCTAGTGGGGACGGCTGGATCAAATGAGGATTTATTGAGAATGAGGAGGACGTGGGCAATACTCACAGACGGCACCGAAGCCGTAAGCAGATAGAGAGATTTTGAAGACCAGTGAGAGCGAGAACGGCAGAGGGATGGATCTGCAGAAGACGGGACGCAATGGGATTGAGGGGGCATGCAGGGTGTTTGCCTTTGGTACAGAGGATGTAGCGGAAGAAGGTGACTGAGTGATGTGAGGAGACAAGATGGCACCTCAGTTTTCTGGGAAAGAGGGTGAGGGCGAGGTGCTGTGGGAGGCTTGAGGACGGAGGAGAACGTCCAGAACGGTGTCTGTGCAGAGCGGGACAGTGAATTGATTAGAAAGAGGATGTTCGTCTTCCTGCAGGGAGGGTCCCGTTGAAATTGGATGACAGAAATCTACAGCGCACCCAGATACCCCAGGCTCGTGATTTTTCAAGCAAATCAAAGGCTGCAGATGGTTTGGCTAGGTGTAATCACTGCCAGGACAGGGGAGACCAGCCCAAAGTGGGACTGTCACCAAAGGGTCGAGCCGGGCAAAGCAGAGAGAAGCCCGTACTGAGGGATGGAGGGACTGAAAGTCACAGTGAGGGTGGAGAATAGGCTTAGGGGTCTCAAGGCAGAGGTAAAGATGGAATGATCCAAGATTAAGGAATCTCAGAACTCATGAACATGGAAGTGGAACCCGGGGCAGGAAGGCAGAGGTGGGGATGGCAAGGTCACAGGTAACACCATCTCTATAAGGAGCTGAGGTGGGGGCGGGGGGAGGTCGTGAGAACTGACGTCCATAAAAATCAATCCATAAACTATCCACGGATGCCCCCTTCTTAGGGTGAGAAGCCCTGTAAATGCTGTCGATGGAGAAGAGGAGGATCTATTTAGAAATGAAGGTGTTTGACAAAAGCTACCAAGACAGATTAAGTTGACCTTATGTCAGTTGAGAAACAGGAAAGAAGCTAGACCCTGGCTACCCTTCCTCTGCAAGCGGGGGATGTGGTGAAGAACGAGACAAGGGTTAAGCTTGATAGGAAAATAAACCTTTAATCTGAAGAGAAAGAAGCGAGGAGAAGCAGCCGCTCTGGTGCATCTTGGCCCGCTTGGCGCTGGAACGGATGGCAAGGTCACCTTGGCCGGATGGTCCCAGAAGGGAAGGGAGGCGTTCTGATTCAACTTGATTAGACAGTGAGACATCATTGGAGCCTCTCAGGGAGAACTCTGTGAAGGCTGGAGCCATCCCAGCAGGTCAAAGGTGAGCAGGGTTTTGGACAGGCTTCCTTCGCCCCTCTCCAGCGAGGGGCCGGCCCCGCTCTTCCCAGATGGTGAGGCCGTCACAGGAGCAGATCTGCTTGGGGTTCTGGAAGAGGCCTGCGGAGCGAGCAATGATGCCACAGGCTAGCCTACAGGAGACAGAGAATGAGGTTGGTGTGGGCCGTGAAGGGGCCCGTGCCACACCCAAAGGCGCCAGGGAAACACTCCCACGCCCAGACGGGTAGGGCTTCCTCACCTCTCTCCAGAGTTTCCAGTGACCTTGGAGAGCGGGTGTCCTCCCTGCCCCAGGTCATCTTCATCTGCATCAATGACCAGGCTTCGGCCGATGATGTCCCACACCTGCAGAGGCGGCAGCTCTCAGGCCCTGCCCGGACAGAAGCCGTCCCGTTCTCCCCCACCCCCCATCAGTCGCCTCGGCATCTCACCTTGAGCTTCTCGTCCTCTAGCCTGAAGGTCGCTCTCCCGTTGGCACTTGCATAGACGTTCCCCAGATCTCCCAGGTGCTAGGAGGGGCAAGATAGCTCAAGGGTCTCTTTGCTCCTCCTGACTTCAGCCAGGGCAGCAAGGGTAGCGAGAACTGGGAGGCACCTCTGGTCCCTCCCCCTCCCCCTCCCCCTGCCCCACCTGGGCTCCAGTCCCTTTGGCGGCTCTGGGCCACTACCTCCCCAGGCCACGGCAGCCTCACCTGGCTGCCTCCAAGGTCCCTTCCATTCCTAAAGCTAGGGTCCCACGACCGCTTTCTGGCAGCGGCGCTTACCCGGTGGGTGTCCCTGGGGCCTCCATGGGGCATTCCTTCAGGGTTGAAGTGGTCTCCACAGCTACAACCCAAAGGCATTTTGTGGGCATGGAGGAGCTCAGCAGGTGAGGGGTGTCACCCACCCCCATCCACTCCAGCTCCTCCTGGGTTCTGTGTCCTTGGCATCAAATGTGTAGGAGCTGAAGAAATGGCTGGTGGATGACCTGGTCCCATCGGGGTTTGTGAACGGTTCTGCTCATTTTTCCTGGCCCCGGCCCCTCCCTTGCCCCATCATTATGCCCATTCCACTCGGAATACCACGGAGCTCCAGCCTTTCAGCAGGGTGACCAAGCCTCCTGGGCCTCCCGGGCAGATTTCTGAGGCTCCTAAGTGCTACTGTACATCTCTTTTTAGCAAGCAATCAACAAGCATTTATTAAGCTCCTCTGGCATGCCAGGCCCTGTGCAGACAGCAGCACACAGAGAAAAGGGGACCGCCCCGCCCCTCTTCTGATGGAAGGCAGCATATTCACGTGGGCAGATCGAGTTCACATACAAACAGACACAAAATGACTGGATGGAGAGGCAGTGGGAAGGAGGAAAGGGCCTCTGAGGGGACCCCAGGGGGCGAAGGCATCCCAGGCAGGGTGGGTAAAGATGGCAGATGGCGCGTCCGCGTGAGGAGACGTGGGCGAGCCGCTTCGGCTGGACGGGTGAATGGGCGAAGGGGACAGATCTGGGAAGGGGAGGCTGGGCCTGAAACTCCAGGGGAGTCTGGAGGGCATCCTGGCAGCAGGAGAAGGCAATGCAATCCCTCAGGGGAGTAACGGAGTTTTGGGGTTATGTTTCCTGCCCTCCTACCAGAGTCTGCTGGCTATCCAGGCATCTGAGTGCCTAGAAAAAAGGGCAAAAACACCCAGGGAGGGCACAAAGCTGACAGAAAGTCATCCGCAAGGGCTCCTACCCACCTGGCACAGTTTTGGGTCAAGTCTCCATACTGATGAACGTGGAGGCCATGGGGCCCAGGCTCCAGGCCATCGATCGTCCCCTCAATGAGGCAGCGCTGGGGGGACACTTGTAGAAAGCGCACAACTCCCTGTACGGCCCCAGGCTGCCCCAAGATGGCCACAGCCGCTCCCAAGTTCTCTGTAAGACAATGACAGGGGAGCTGCCTTCCCCACCCCACCCTGACCCCCCCACCCCACAGGGCCACAGTCACCCCCAGGCTCTCTGTAAGATAGTGACAGGTGAGCTGCCTTCCCCAGCCCACCTTGCCCC